TTGCATTCATTGTCGAAAAGAACATTCAAAGATCTATCCTGAAGCACAATGCTGTCAGTGATAGGATAATATCCATATACCTACAAGGGAGACCAGAAAATACGAATCTTATTCAAATTTAGGCACCAACCATTAATGGCAAAGATGAAGAAATGGAAGATTTTTACCATCCTCTGTGGTCTGAAATTGACTGAACATGCAATCAAGATGCATTGATCATTACTGATGACTGGAATGCCAAAGTTGGAAACAAAGAAGAAGGATCAGTACCTGGAAAATATGACCATGGTAATGAAAACACCACCAGAGACTGCACAACAGAATTTTGCAAGACCAACGATTTATTCATTGCAAATATCTTTTCTTAACAACATAAATGCTGACTATACATGTGGACTTCACCAGACGGAATGCACAGAAATCAAATTGACTACATCTGTGGAAAGAGATGATAAAGAAGTTCAATATCATCCTTCAGAACAAGGCCAGGGCCGATTGCAGAACAGACCATCAACTGCTCATATGCAAGTTCAAGTCGAAGCTGAAGAAAATTAAAACAAGTCAAAGAGAGCCAAAATGTGACTTGAGCATATCCCACCTGAAATTAGAGACCATCTCAAGAATAGATCTGAATAACAATAGATTTGATGCAATGAACACCAGTGACTGAAGACCAGATGAGTGTGGGATGACATCAAAGACATCATACAAGAAGTAAGCAAAAGATCATTAAAAAGACAGGGGGAAAAAAGCAAAATTGATGTTAGAAGAGACTCTGAAACTTGCTCTCGAATGGAGAGTAGCTGAAGCCAATGGAAGAAATGATGAAGGAAAAGAGTTGGACAAAACATTTCAGAAGGTGGCTCAAGAAAACAAGGTAAAGTAGGGGTTCTGGTTCCCTAGTGCCACTCCAACAGAAATGCCACAAATGGATGACCATAACAAACAGTTTATTTTCTTACAGTTCAGGAGGCTAGAAGACCAAGTTCAAAGTGCCAGCTCTAGGGCCTGGGTGAAAGCCCCTCGACCTTGGCCTCAGCTCTGCCTCTTGCTCCCGGCTGACTGGAGCTAGAGGCGTCTTTTCACTCAGGCAGCTGCTGGATGGTGAGGCTAAAAAGCCCAAGCTCACAAGTCACAAGATTATCAAACAACCTGTCAGGCCACTAGTTCAAGTCTGGAGATAGTCCCAAGATCGGCAGGAAACATGGCAGGCTGCTGAATGAAGATTTGGCTACATGCAGGCTACAAGTGTGCCAAAAAGCTGCAGACCTTCCTCCCAGCTGCTCCTTGTGTCCTGGCAGCAGCCCACAGCCCTAAGGCTGCTACCCAGCTGCTCCAGTAGATTCCACCGTGGGGCTGATGACCAGTCTCCTCACGGGGACTCACTGCATCCAGCTGCCCAGCCGCTCAATGAGGCCCAGCCAAGCTGACACATTGCCTTAACTACCACAGTATGATAATGAAATGTGCAAAGACCTGAAGTTGGAAAACCAAAAGGGAAAAACATGCTCGGCATTTCTCAAGCTGAAAGAACTGAAGGAAAGAAAAATAAAGCTTCAAGTTACAATATTGAAGGATTCTTTGGGAAAATATTGAACAATGCAGAAAATATCAAAAAACACAAGGAACCAAGACAACATGAGTGAAAACAAGCAGAAAATAGAGACCAGAAAATTCTTCCTATATTGATATCATGAGGCACAGAGACTGTTTAAAATTACTAAGAACATTTGACAAAGAACAGATTAACTTCTGTAAGTGGAAAATAAAAACAAATTGAATTGTAAGCCTCAGTGGATATCATTAAGAACAGATAAGATGTAGTTGAAGAGAAAGTTAAGAACTGTTAAGAGGTATCTGAAGAAATTATTCTGCAAGGAGCACAGGAAATAATAAGCGCAGAGGTAGAATGAGAAGTTCTGTTGTATGTCATGGGAGCTCTGGTGGCCCAGCACCTAAAGCACTTGACTGCTGACCAGAAGGCTGGCGGTTCAAACCCACCAGCCACTCCACGGAAGGAAGCTGGGGCAATCTACTTCCGTAGGAGGGGTCTCTCTGAGTCAGATCTGACTCAACGGCAGTGAGTTTGGTTTGGGTTTGGTTTTATTGTATATCACACGAGATCTGCAGAAGGATTAATGAGAGGGCATGGAGCAGAGGCATTATTTCAAGAGGCAATGTAGAAAACATTCCCAGAATTGAAAGACACAAATTTGGAGATTCAGGAAGCCCAATAACACTCAAGCAGAATAAACAATAACACAGGTGTGTATGCATAGGCAGAAGATGTTTAACTGTCAAAGGTAGACTTGGAGGGAGGGGCAAATGCAGGAGATGACGTAACAAGGAGTGAAATTCTATTTGGAACTTCAGAGAACTTAGGGAAGACTTTGGCTAGCTTCTTCTGAAGAGTACTGTACTCAAAAGACTAAGGCCTAAGTCCCTTGGTGGTAAGTCAAATTTCAGGTAAGTGGCTTCCCACCTGACATGGGTGTCTTAAATCCTTATGAAGCAGTAGATGAGTGTAACAGTTATACAAGCCTTAAAAAGCCCAGTGTGGAACAAAACTCAAAATCATGAAAAGACAAAAAAAGTGTTGGGGGGGAACCAGCTTTGCTGGTCTGACAGAGCCTGATGGAACCACTGAGACTATAGCCCTCAGCTGCCCTTCAGGTCTGGAACTGAACCCACTCCTGTGGCTTCCAGCCAAGCAAAAGACAGGCCTATGAGTTGAACATTAATTAGGTAGATACACTCCTTGGAGAGAGCAATCATGGGAGAAAGAAGGGCTGCATATGCACAGGGAGACAGCTCGGGGGCGGGGGCGGGAGTGCATGGGAGGGAAGGACACAGGGAAGAGGTAACTATGGGAAGGAAGTAGAAGGGGAGCTGTTGCATTGTGGGAAATTGGAGTCAATGTCATGAGACAAAGTGCCTGTGAGCTGCTGTATGAAAAGTGAATTTGCTCTGTAGACTTTCACCCAAATCACACACACTGTACACACGCACAAAGGCCTTAAAACAACAAAAAACAAACTCACTGCCATTGAGTCGATTCCAACTCATAGGGACCACCCTTTGGGTTTCTGAGACAGTAAATCTTTAGGGAAGTAGTCTTCTTTCCATAGAGGGGCTGATGGGTTTGAACCGCCAGCCTTCTGGTGAGCAGTCACATGCCTTAGGCACTACGCCACCAGAGCTCCTTATAAAAGCCTTAAGTGACTGAATTCCTGAATTATAGTGGCTCCAATAGGGGTTTATTTTTCTCATACCAAGCATTCCAGAGGTGGGTAGATACGAGTGTTGGTTTAGTGGCTTGGAATTGTCAAAACGAGAATATATGTAATTTTCATCACATAGGGGAGCACTGGTGGTAGAGTGGTGAAGTGCTAGAATGCTAACCAAAAGGTCAGTGGTTCAAAACCCCCAGCAGCTGCACAGGAGAAAGATGTGGCTATCTGTTTCTGTGAAGCTGACACCCTTGGAGACCCCATGGGAGGAGTTCTACCTCGTTCTCCAGGGGCACTATGACTCTGAATCGAATCGATGGCAACAGGGTTTTTTCCTCATTACCTCATGAGCAAAAGATGGCCCCTGAACTTAAGCAATGATCAAGGCAGCATGAAGGAAAAAGACAGCAGTACATCTTCCCGGGGGTTACCGGTCAGATGTCCATTATGTTTTATTGTCCAGAACTATGTCAGTTAGCTTTGCCTAGCCATAGAGTGGTTGGGGAAGGGATTATGCAGCTTTTCCAGTTCCTCTAGTTGAATGATGAGCTCTGGTGGTGCACTGGTTAAAACAGTCAGCTGCTAACCACAAGGCCAGAGGTCTGAACCCACCAGTGATTCCATAAAGATTAGAAAAATTAAAAAAAGAAAACCCGCTGCTATCGAGTCAATTCCGACTAATAGCAACCCCCACTGGGTTTCCAAGACTTTGTCCTCCTGCAGTGGAGCAGTTGGTGGGTTTGAACCATCAACCATCGGTTGGCAGCCAAATAAATGCCTTACCCACTACACCACCAGAGCTCCTTAATAACGTACACCAATCAAGTAAGCTATGTGCCTGTGTTCATAGTAGATGAGAAAATGCTTCACTGAGGGAGGGAGTGAGGAGAGTGTGCATCAGGGGGGAGAAAGCCCCAAAGTAGGACCATGCTTGGCTTATTCAAGAGCAAATGAGGCTGCGTTGGAGAATAGCAGGATGCCAGGTCGGAGAAGTGATGAGGGTAAAGACTTTGGCCTTTTATGAGAGAGATGGGTACCACCGCAGGGTTTCAGGCAACACAATCTGATTTACAATTTAACGAACTCTCTTGGGGACTCTGGGGAGAGCAGGCTGAAGGGACCCATGGATGCCAGTCTGCAGACTGGTGAGGGGAGCTACTGTATAATCCAGCGACGGGGCAGGAGGCGGTTAGCAGTGGAGGGGTGACTAGTATCCAGATTCTGGATAGATTTGGCGGGTAAAGCCAGGAGGGTGTTTCTGATGAGTAGGGTGTGGGAGTGACAGAAAGCAGGCGAAGATAAACACCCCGGGACAGGTTCACTGGAGCTTCCAGACTAAGACTGACCCGGAAGAAGGAAGGGGCCATCCACTTCCCAAACACCCGCATGAGCGGCTGAAGGCCATCCACCAAGGAAGTTGGGGGCCATAGTAAGTTGGTTTTTCCTCTTGCTTCTGTTTGTGTTTTGGAGAAGAGATCCATTTTGCTTTGGCAACTGACCATGATCAGGATTCAACTACGTCAGTCAGTCCCTTAGCTCTGTGTTCATACAAGTGAGAAGTTTTGTGTACAAAGAACTAAACCACCATTTTGTAACTTTTCAGAACAGAAGAGCTGCCTTGACATGAGTGGCTAGCCGAGAATAAAGAAACCTCCCCCTGGCCCCAGGAGCGAGGGGGCCTGCAGGACAGGCCATGGGATCCCAGAAGCTACGGAGCCTCGCATTTCTGCTGTGCTCTCTGACGTGCATCTTCTCAGTGACTCTAGTCGCCTCCTCTTCGCTTTTATCTTCATCGAGAATGCCAGACAGAGCAGAATCTAAACTACGCTCGAGGGGTATGTGTGCTGTTACATGTTTGCTCATAAGATAAGAGTTCGTGTTTAAAAATATTCATGCTCAGACAGGCTTAATGATCAGGTATGACTAGGCAGAAGGGAATATACCCAGGACCATACAGAAGTTTGCCAGACGATATTTCTACATATGGATTTGTATGTGGTATAAGAAGATCCAGGAGCTATGGTGGCGTAGTGCCTAAGCATTTGACTGCTAACCAGGAGGATGGCGGTTCAAACCCACCAGCCACTC